ACATGTGGCTGCTCCTACATGATAGAATAATGATAGATGGACTGATTGGTGTCAGTCTCCCTCAGTCTTAAGTCAATAAGTTCAGTTGAAGTTCTTTTCATATTATGTATTGTTCTCAAACTGCTAACTGACAACCCAAGATTGTAATGAACTTCCTCTCAGTTTTATCATGCATCTGAAGACCAATGTGAGATGGAATCCACAGCATGTGCACTCTGACTCCACTGTCCACAATCTTACCATACCTGTGTCTGGCTTCTGACACAAGCATGCCACAATTGACACTTAAAGAGTTGAGAGCATTTATGGATGATGAATCAGTTACAATTAAAATGTCAACTTTAGATACATGGGTGTATTTGAGTGCAAGGAATATGGCAAACAGTTCTGTCTGAAGGGTAGAGGCCCAGTTATTGATGTGTACTCCAATTCCTTTATGAGAGCCATCACTCTGTATGACAACAGCAGAGTTTCTAGCCTCACCAGTGGATTAGTGAACAGAATAATCAACATAAATAATTTGTGAAAGTGTATACTATATGACTAAGTCGTCAGTACAGCTTAAGGCATCCTGCTTGGCTTCAAGGCGAAGCTGTAGTTGTGGGGAAAGGGAGAGAAGGTTTGGAATGGTGTAATATCCCATGGAGCGGGAAATGCCTTACTTGACATAAATCGTGTATCTGGTTTATGCGGAGGTGACAGGAGGTCAGTTTCAGTTTTTGTGATCCATCTGGAGGAGTGTTCACCAGTGCTGAGGAATGTTTGGAGGGCTATGCAGGGGTTTGAATAAGCTTGACTGAGCACATTGACCCCAATGAGGACATTTCTTTCAGTAACATGATCTCTGATGCTGTATTATTATTATTAAAAATGGGAAACCCATATGGGGCCACACAGCACTAGAATTTGCATGAGTGTCATCGTGTAAAGTAAAAGGACACAAGTGCAACTAATGTGATATTTTATTGTGGCAACGTTTCGCTCTCCAGGAGCTTTATCAAGCCATTACGGTAATGGCTTGATGAAACTCCTGGAGAGCGAAAATTTGCCACAATAAAATGTGACACTGGTTACATTTGTGCCCTTTTACTTTACATATTGTCGGTAATTCTGCCAACATTAATACAATGAGTGTCATCCATTGAGGAGACTAAATCTCCAAGCAGTTATAAACCAAGACTTCCAGTGGGCCACAGAAAACGATATGATATTCAATGATGACAAATTTCAGTTACTCCCTTGAGGAAATGGAGTATAAAACAAATTGTAACCTAACTAGAGCGGAAAAGTAATGTGAAGGATTTAGAAGTGATAGTATCAGAGAATCTCACCTTCATGGATCACAGCAGTGTCATTGTCACAGCTTCAAAGAAAATGGTAGGATGGATTCTTGAAAACCTTCAGAACAAGGAACACCAAGCGAATGATGATCCTCGTTAAGTTATTTGTTCCCTTTAGGCTGAAATATTCCTGTACATTAACCCTTTCAGGGTCCGTGTTGTAGATCTACAGCTTTATGTTGAGGGTCCTAACCGTAGATCTACGCCATGAGCTCAGCTCACTCTGATAAGCTGTGAGCGGTAAATTTGGGCCTAGATATGAGAGAATACATCTTTGTGGTATGTGTGCACCACATAAAACAAATCCTGCAACACACAGTACATATACTCATTTGTGCTTTATTGTTATCTGTTTACAATAATGTTTTATCACTGATTTCATCATTGCTTAGTTAATCTTCAGTTAATTTTAAGCCAGCCCGTAATGCTATGCATACAAGTGGCTTTGGCATGCTGCTCTTACATGTATTTTTTTTTGTACCTCTGTATGTTCAAATTGTTAAATAAATAAATAAGTAAATAATGAGAGAAAAAACTGAGACCATAATTTTCGATTAAAACAGCGACTTTGCAATGTTTTATCGCATGTTTATTATAGTTAGATAGAATGGAAGATATATTATAGAAATAGAGATGATTTTGATTGATTTTAGTACTGAAAATGGCTTGAAACTGAGCTCAAAGTAGCAGAAATGGTAAATTTTTGCCGATGTTCAAGAGTAAACAAATGACCTCACACGTCTAATACACGCCAGCTGGTGGGTCTAATATACATTCACAAATGTGCTGATATTATATATACAATTATTACAATATTGCATGACAGTAAATCTTCTATTTTTTGGTTTGAATAAAAATTATGTGAATTAAAAATAAAAATGGAATTCATTTGTAAAGCCCAAAAATGTAACTAATGAACAGAGGAAATGTTAGTTTAGTGCCAGGAATACCTACATTGTTTATTCTGGACCCTATTTTGAAATTGGAATATTTTCAATTTTTCATTAAATTGGCCTAATTACCAATTTCTGATTACTTTATTTTGTAGTTGAAACAGTTGACTTGGCGATTTCTTGTGCTCAGTCGATAGAATAGAAGTAATACTAGTGAAATAGCCAACAATTTGGACGGCTGGAATAATGTAATTGGCCTAAACTGGGAGTCAAAGTCGGCAAAATTGCTGATGTGTAAATATCGCTGACACATCAAAATTCGTGAGAGCATAATTTTGTCAACTTTTCCCTCAAATTTCATACTTTTTGTTTTATTACCTTCAGAAAAAGATTACCATTTCATAAGAATAAATAACAAACTTATTTTTTGAAAATTCTTGGACCCTGGTGCGCACTTTGAAATTTGGCGTCTAGACCCTGAAAGGGTTAACTACCCCCTTCAAGGCGGAGAATGTACAGGGAACCTTCATGCATGTATAAGCTCAGTCAGGCATCTTAATTACTGTGAACATTTGAAGTCCCCTTGATCTGTAATTCTTAAAATTCAGGTGAGAAAGATGCATCATAATTTACACCTGGAAAATCTTAGTGGGACTTGCCCCAAATCTACACATACAAATCATTCCTTGTGAAAGCAAAAGACTTGGCAGACTGTGCAATACACCCCAATGAAGAGCGACAGATGTCGTGAGAACATTAAAAGAAAACAATAAGTGTCAGGGGCCCAAGACTGTTCAACAGCTTCTTGTCATACATAAGGGGGATTACCAATAGACCTCTGGCTGTCTTCAAGAGGGAGCTGGACAGATACCTAAGTCAGTGCCTGACCAGCTGAGCTATGGTTTGTACATTAGATTGTACAAACCATAGCCTGATTGATCAGGTCCTGATCCACCAGGAGGTTGATCATGGACTGGGCCACAGGGGCTGTGACCTCTGGAACAACCTCTAGGTAGATAGGTAGGGCATATACAGTCGAGGCTGGAGGAACTGGCCATTAACATACAGATACAGTACAGTATTGTACAATAGGTCAGTTGCATCATGTAAGGGGTAACTGCACCATCCCCTAAAAATACCCATTTTTTGTGTAGTTTCCAAAGTATGTTCTATGTCTAAAAGCACGCCTATTTGGAATGTGTTTACCAGTCAAGCAGTAGTACATATTATGGAAAAAACTCAGATAATAGGCACTTAGGTGGTGGGACAATTACCCCTCGCATGGTGCAATTGCCCCATTGTACCATACCTAATCGACTCGAATATTTTTCGTCTGTAATTATAACTCAGTGGTGCCTTTTTTAAAGTGATTGACTATGTTAAAAAGTCACTCGGACATAAGTCTCAGGGGCTCAGTTTTCTAATCACTAGACATGTGTTGCTGAATTGGAATGATTAACCCTTAAACGGTCCAAACATCGACGTTCAAATTCGTAGCTACAAAAGTAGATCTACTTTTTTTAACATTTTCATATGTAACAAAAAATAAAATGTAGATAAAAGTTTTTTTACACGTTTTCGAATGTAAAACAAAAAAGAAGATCTACATTTTTTTACATACTTTCAGATGTTGAAAAAACGTATATATACGTTTGGACCATTTAAGGGTTAATACTGTTAAGTGTACAGTGGACCCCCGCTTAACGATCACCTCCCAATGCGACCAATTATGTAAGTGTATTTATGTAAGTGCGTTTGTATGTGTATGTTTGGGGGTCTGAAATGGACTAATCTACTTCACAATATTTCTTATGGGAACAAATTCGGTCAGTACTGGCACCTGAACATACTTCTGGAATGAAAAAAGTTCGTTAACCGGGGGTCCACTGTACTGTATAAAGTTGAAGGTAATTTGATACATATTGTCTTTACCCTTAAATGGTCCAAACATAGATCTACGTTCACATGTATAGTGCTCGAAAAGTAGATATACGTTTTTTTAATACTTTCAAATATAAAAGAAAAACGTAGATCAAAGTTTTTTATTTACATGCTTTCAAATGAAAAAAAAAAGATCTGTGTTTTTTTTACATACAGTGGACCCCCGCATAACGATTACCTCCGAATGTGACCAATTATGTAAGTGTATTTATGTAAGTGCGTTTGTATGTGTATGTTTGGGGGTCTGAAATGGACTAATCTAATTCACAATATTTCTTATGGGAACAAATTCGGTCAGTACTGGCACCTGAACATACTTCTGGAGTGAAAAAATATCGTTAACCGGGGGTCCACTGTACTTTCAAATGTTGAAAAAACGTAGATCTGCGTTTGGACAGTTTAAGGGTTAAGAGTAAGTCATCACTTAGGACTAATATAGGTTACATTTTTGTTATATTTATCAAGTAAGTTTATTTAGTTACAGGAGCACATAAGTACAATTGTCATACATAGTTTAACATGTGTAAATTACTCTCCAGGATAACTGAAAAAAGTCAGCGGCTTATTTCCATTGAGGTTCATGTTGGGAATGTAGCCTCATATTAACCCTTAAACTGTCCAAACGTAGATCTACGTCCATGTGCAGGGGCTCCGAACGTAGATCTACGTTTCTTTTTACATGCTTTTAAATGGGGCAAAACAAGGTCGGAGCGCTACGCATGTGAACATAGATCTACGTTTGGACAGTTTAAGAGTTAAGTAACTTTGTTGCCTTCATACCTCCCACATGTATTATACCTAACATACATTCTTGTTACTTTTGCAGATGGTTTATGCTATAACAAGAAGTGGGAGAGAGAGAAATTTTTAGTATCATGTGTGTATACTAGTAGAACATCTCTCATGGCACTTAGCCTACGTCACCATAGTATCTTAGAGCAAGTTGTTCCTAACTTTTATTGCTGCATGTCAAATTGGTTTCTCTATGGGTATGCTAGCTGATAAGCTGGAGGGTCTCTCACATCAACTCCTGTAAACTTGGATTTATATGAAGACTCAAGTTTTCTTTTGTGGCCAAAAGATCTTGAGGGACTTATCACTGAGTATAAAAAAAATTGGTAACCAGTGTAGTGCAGCTATAAGTGCCATGACCTTCAAGTCATTCCAATAGATGAATGATTTTCTGTGGCTGCAAACCCGAGAATAAACACTTGGGCTCTCCAAGTGGATATGAAGCGCAACACTTAGGTGCAAGCATGTCTGGTCGTCACCTAAGCTCGGAGGACCGACGGGAGCTGGCCCGCCTCACCAAAATCTTGACCCAGAAGATCGTACAAGTGGTTGTTCAGAGCAGACTTGGAGAGAAGGCCTTCACTAAGTCCAAGACACCAGCACAAGGATCAGAGTGGGTGAGTAATAATAATAATTCTCCATGGGGAAGTGGAACAGAATTCTTCCTCCGTAAGCCATGCATGTCGTAAAAGGTGACTAAAATTCAAATAAAAATTTTTATTTCCTTGTAAAGTGTACAGTGCATGGTTTACATGTTATAAGATTTTAATTACAAAGATGGCCACTATGTACCTAGGCACTTCAGGCAGACTAATACTAATTCTTATGCTATTTATGATATAGGTCATATTTCAACAGAACATTTGAGCATATTATTAGGTACTTAATTAGATACATTCTCAGTTAGGTACATACATATTTAGGTTTCAAATAGTTAGGTAGTCAAATCATTTGATATTAGTACAAATGGCAGATTGAGTAATGGGATTTGATTTGTCTTGTAATGATACATCGTTTCTATTAACCCTTAAACTGTCCAAATGTAGATCTACGTTCATGTGCATAGTGCTCCGACCTTGATTTTTCCCATTTGAAAGCATGTAAAAAAAACGTGGATCTACGTTCGTAGCCCCCAGCACGTGGACATAGATCTACGTTTGGACAGTTTAAGGGTTAAAGCCATACTGGAGGAGTATCTTAGACAAACTTAGGGTTAACTTAAGATTTGATAAGACTAACGTAAGGTTTAATAGGCAGTAGCTACATTAGGAGCAAGGGGCTAGTAACCTCGTCTCCTGTATACATTACTGAATTTATAAAGAGAGAGTTTTGTTTTTCTTTTTGGGCCACCCTGCTTCGGTGGGATATGGCCGGTGCGTTGAAACAATAATAATAATAATAATTTTTATTTCAGCATGATAAAATATTTGTACAGAGATGGTTAACATTTAGGTGAACATGAAAGCCCCGAGTTATGCAGAGCATTTCGGGCAAACTTAAGCCTAACTTAAGACTACAGTTGCAAAAACTAATTAATTGCTTTTATTTATGGTCTCTAAAGATTCATATACAATAAATTTTGGAACTGCAAGGAGAGCAAACAATCAGTCAGTTGAATGGTAGTTTACTGAACAAAGTGACCATCTCCTTTTAACCCTTAAACTATCCAAATGTGGATCTACGTTTGCACGCGTGGCGCTCCGACCTTGATTTTCTCCATAAGAAAGCATGTAAAAATATAGATCTACGTTCGGAGTGCTATGCAAACGAACGTAGATCTGCGTTTGGACAGTTTAAGGGTTAATGTGAACTGAAAGGGGAACAGAGCGGTAATGTGTAATTTGGCTTTCTGTTTAATTACAAGGAAAGCACAGTCAGGATATTATCCGTCTGTTGTTTTCTATACACTTTGTGTCATTCACAAGTTATGCTATATGTACAGTGGACCCCTGAGTTTCATGATTAATCAGTTCCAGAGAGCCCGCCGAAGTTCAAAATTCACGAAACTCGAAACCATTTTCCCCATAAGAAATAATGGAAATAAAATTAATCCGTTCCAGACACCCAAAAATATTAAAATAATTTTTTTTTTTTTTCAAATTAAATAAAGATTTACATAATGAAAACAATCAGAAATCAAGTACATGCATTTAAAATAAATAATAATAACATTACACTTACCTTTACTGAAGACTTCTGCGTGGATGGAAGACGGGAGGAGGGGATAGGAGGAAGGTGTACACTATTGTTTGGAAGGAGAATCTCCTTCCATTAAGACTTTAGGTAACAAGTCCTTATCTGGGGTTACTTCCCTTCTTCTTTTAATGCCACTGGGAACAACTTGAGAGTCACTGGACCCCTGGCGCACAAAATATCTGTCCAGAGAGGTCTTTTTCTGGCGTTTCTTTAAGATTTCCCTGAAGTGGGACACAACACTGTCATTGTACATGTTGCAGATATGGCTTGTTTCAGCTTGGTCAGGGTGATACTTTTCAACAAAACTTTGCAACTCGTTCCACATTCCACACGTCCTTAATCACTGAAGAAGGCACCTCATCCACTCCCTCTTCCTCCTCCTCTGAAGCAAGTTCCTTGGCTGTGGTCTGATGCTGTTCCAGTTAAAGCTCTTGCAGTTCGTCAGTGGTTAGCTTTTCCCTGTGGTCCTCCACCAACTCTTCCACATCCCTGTCACTCACCTCCAACCCCATGGACTTGCCCAATGCCACAACACCTACAACAGGCAGAGGGTCGGCAGGGACAGGGTCTGCCTCAAACCCTTCAAAATCCCTCTGGATCGTGTTCCTCACTTTATTTACCAAAGGGCTTGCACTAGCTTTCCTTGGGTCCATGATGACTTATTTAGCAGTTGCAAGCACAAAAAACAATGGATTATTATGAAATGTATTGTATGAACCCGCGGGGTGATGGTCATGTGTTGGTAAACAATGGTACACTGAGCATGTATGACGTGGGGGACTGGCTTTGTGTGTGCGGTGATGGGCGGACGGGTACCGGACGGTCGCCGAAACACGAGCTTTTTCATGAAACTCGAGGCCAAATTTTTCCAAAAAAACTCGCCGAAGGTCGAATTTCGCAAAAGTTGAGGCTGCCAAAACTCAGGGGTCCACTGTATTATTAACACTCAGTATAACGCACCTCAGTTTAACCCTTTCAGGGTCCAGAGGCCAAATTTCAAAGTGTGCACCAGGGTTCAAGAATTTAAAAAAAAAAAATTTTGTTATTTTTTCTTATGAAATTGTAGAGAATCTTTTTCTGAAGGTAATAAAACAAAAAGTACGAAATTTGATGGAAAATTGACGAAAATATGCTCTCGCGAATTTTGATGTGTCAGCGATATTTACGAATCGTCGATTTTGCCGACTTTGACTCCCATTTTAGGCCAATTACATTATTCCAGTTGACCAAATTCTTAGCTATTTCACTAGTATTACTTCTATTCTATCAATTGAGCACAAGAAATCGCCAAGTCAACTGTTTCAACTACAAAATAAAGTGATCGGAAATTGGTAATTTGGCTAATTTAACACAAAGTTCAAAATATTCCAATTTCAAAATAGGGTCCAGAATAAACAATGCAGGCATTCCTGACACTAAACTAACATTTCTTCTGTTCATTAGCTATGTTTTGAGGCTTTACAAATGAATTCCATTTTGATTTTTTATTCAAATAATGAATTTTTATTCAAACCAAAAAAATAGAAGATTTACTGTCATGCAATATTGTAATAATTGTATAAATATCATCACCACATTTGTGAATGTATATTGGACCCACTAGCTGGCATGTATTAGACGTGTGAGGCCGTTTGTTTACTCTTGAACATCGGCAAAAATTTAACATTTCCGCTGCTTTGAGCTCAGTTTCAAGCCATTTCCAGTGCTAAAACCAATCAAAATCATCTCTATTTCTGTAATATGTCTTCCATTCTATCAAATGAGACCAAGAAATCGCAAATACAAATATAATAAACATACGAAAAAACACTGCAAAGTCGCTGTTTTAATCGAAAATCACGGTCTCAGTTTTTTTCTCTTATTATACACTGTGTGCTGCAGGATTTGTTTTATGTGGTGTACACATACCACATAGATGTATTCTCTCATATCTAGGCCCAAATTTACCACTCACAGCTTATCAGAGTGAGCTGAGCTCATGGCGTAGATCTATGGTTTGAACCCTGAACGTAAAGCCATAGATCTACGGCACAGACCCTGAAAGGGTTAACACACCTCAATATAATTGACCTTGATATAATGAACCTTGATATAGCAGATCTTAGTATAACAGGCCTTGATAAAATAAACCTTGATATAAAGGACCCTGATATAATGGATCTTGATATGTATAATTATCCTTGATAAAAAGGACTTTGCTATGACAGACATTGATATAATGGGCCTCATAGTAACAGACTTATGAAAACACACATAAAATTCACTGGATAAATTGTACCTTTAACTCATTTCCAGTATTTATTGTACTAGTACTGTAAGTTGTATGCACAGTAGAGTACTTTAGTGTGTTTTCTGTACTTTATTAACATTCTAATTTAACACACACTGACACTTCCCCCTCCTGTTAGTACTGTATATTGAGGGTTTTCTGATTATTTTTAATACAGTGGTGATTAAGCTGTATTGATAGTCTAAACATTACATTACCTTCACTGTACTTAATAGCAGTGCTGCTGTGTTGTTAACATCTATGTTGAAATTGTGCTTATTCTTGGCAGTTCAACTTGGGTATTGAGGACATACATGAGATCCAGCAGGAGACAAAGAGAGGACTGGGAGGACATCTGCCGGATGTTGGAAAGCCCCTGGTGGTGGAGATCCTTCTCCGAACACCTGAATCGGACAGCCTAGTCCTGGAATTCTGGACTCTCACAATTCTGGATGCTTGTGACTCTTCACCTTCCAGGATAAACCCAACTATTTACAACAGAATGACAGTAAGTGTATCACTGTATACCTGGACAGGGTTTCAAAGGTCACCGCCCCCTCGGCCCAGTTCATGACCAGGCCTGGTGGTAGATCAGGGCCTGATAAACCAGGCTGTTACTGCTGGCTGCACACAAACTAACATACCAACCACAACCCAGCTGGTCAGGTAATGACTTTAGGTACAGATAAAACTCAAACAAGATTTTATATAAATGGTTTAGGAAGGTGACAAGTTGAATGAGACATTTGTGCACCACTTGGATATCTCAAAGTCAAATGGTAAAGATTTATTTCCACATAATATAATGTTTGTATAATATTATTATATTATTATTATTATTTAAAGTGCAAAGTTTTTCTAATTCTCTTTTTTAGTAAATGTCTACAGGAGAAGGGGTTACTAGCCCATTGCTCCCGGCATTTTAGTCGCCTCATACGACACCCATGGCTTATGGAGGAAAGATTCTTTTCCACTTCCCCATGGACAAAAGAAGAAATAAAGAAGAACAAGAGCTATTTAGAAAAAGGAGAAAAACCTAGATGTATGTATATATATATGCATGTGCGTGTCTGTGAAGTGTGACCAAAGTGTAAGTAGGAGTAGCAAGATATCCCTGTTATCTAGCGTGTTTATCAGACAGAAAAAGAAACCAGCAATCCTACCATCATGCAAAACAGTTACAGGTTTATGTTTCACAGTCATCTGGCAGGACGGTAGTACTTCCCTGGGTGGTTGCTGTCTACCAACCTACTACCACAGGATGGTAGTACTTCCCTGGGTGGTTGCTGTCTACCAACCTACTACCTAATTAATAATAATAATTAAAGTGCAAGGGTTGAAGTACAATGCCTGCACTTTAAAGAAGGGTTTTTTTTGTATATTGGCAGTTTGGAGAGACATCTAAACTGTCGTATCTGAGCGCCTCTGTAAAGACAGTGATTATGTATGAGTGATGGTGAAAGTGTTGAATGATGATGAAAGTATTTTTCTTTTTGAGGATTTTCTTTCTTTTTGGGTCACTCTGCCTCGGTGGGAGACGACCAACATGTTGAAAAAAAAAAAAGTTTGTATAATGATGGGCGACATTGATTGTGCATGCAGAAAGTCCATAGTTTTGCCGAGCATTTCAGACAAGTTTGAGTCTAACTTAAGATTATAATGGCAATAATTATTTGGTTATACGTATATAAGGACATTAAAGGTATACAAACAACAAATTTAGGCATTGCAAAGAGAACAAACAAGCAGACAACTATTCCTGTATTGCGGAAACATTTCTCCAACCACTGGCTTTATTTAACCCTTAAACGGTCCAAACAAATCGACGTTCAAATTCGTAGCTACAAAAGTATATCTACTTTTTTTACATATTTTCAAATATAACAAAAAAAAATGTAGATTTTTTTACATACTTTCAGATGTTGAAAAAACGTATATATACGTTTGGACCGTTTAAGGGTTAATAGATTCACATGTTTATTTCTTTTATGCAGTAGACAGATAATGTAGTTTAAATGTGATAGAATATTGTTAGGTACAAAATAAAGCCACTAGTAGGCAATGCATTTTGAGTAAACTAATCCTACGGCTGGTGAATAATCCACCTGAGTGTCTGCTGATCAATCAGGCTGTTGTGCTGGCATGTAATACAAATGAAGGTAGATGTGTGGAGGGAGTTTGAGGTCATCACTCCTTCTGCCTAGAGATTATAAATTTAATCCAGCATTCATTTAATAAATTTTGCGAAGGGCAGCATAATTTATGCTTTCCTTACAACCTTTATTTCTGCTACAGTGAGAGTAAAAGGTAGATGGGATACAAGGAAAATAGAAGCAGCAAGTAAGAGAGAGGTGAAGGTTTATAAACTAAAGGAGGAGGCAGTTAGGGTAAGATATAAACAACTGTTGGAGGAGAGATGGGTTAGTGAGAATATAGGCAATGGGGTCAAAGATATATGGGGTAGGTTTAACCCTTTGACTGTTTCGGTCGTATATACACGTCTTACGAGCCACCGTGTTTGACGTATGTATACTCATAAATTCTAGTGGCTTCAAATCAAGCAGGAGAAAGCTGGTAGGCCCATATGTGAGAGAATGGGTCTGTGTGGTCAGTGTGCACCATATAAAAAAAATCCTGCAGCACTCAGTGCATAATGAGAAAAAAAAACTCACCGTTTTTTTTTTTAATTAAAATGCCAACTTTGTGGTCTATTTTCGTATAGTATTTATGGTTGTATTCTCGTTTTCTTGGTCTCATTTGACAGAATGGAAAACATATTATAGAAATAGAGGTGATTTTGATTGGTTTTACTATGAAAAGAATCTTGAAATTGAGCTCAAAGTAGGGGAAATGTTTGATTTTTGCCGATGTTCAAAAGTAAACAAATGATGTCATTGTCCAATAAATGTCCAACTAGCCATCCTAATATGCTGTCATGAATGGGTTGACATTATTTATACAATTATTACAATATTGTAGTAGTCTGCATAACAGTAAATCTTCTATTTTTTGTTTGAATAAAAATTCAAAATAGAAAGCAAGAGTAATATCAGAGGGGCCTGGAGACGTGACTGATGAACAAAGAAAATGTTATTTTAGAGCCAGGAATGTCTGCATTGTTCATCCTGGGCCCTATTTTGAAATTGTCATATTTTTTAATTTTCATGAAATTGGCCAGATTGCAAATTTCTGACCACGTTATTGGGTAGTTGAAATAGGTAAATGGGCAGTTTCTTGTACTTAATCGATAGAAAAAATGGAGTTCTAAAGAAATAGCTATGAGTTTGGGCGACTGGACCAATGGAATTAGCCGAAAATAGGGCTCGAAGTGGGCGAAATCACCAATTTGTAAATATCTTCACAAGAGCGTAATTCTGTAAGTTTTCCATCAAATTTCGTTCTTTTGGTGTCATTACCATCAGGAAAAGATTCTCTGTCATTTCATAAGTTTTTTTTTTTCAACACCAGGAGACACCTCAGGATTTGGGGTTTCGACAGTCAAGGGGTTAAGAATGTTGTGTTAGAGTGTTGAGCAGAAGTTTGTGGTTACAGGAAAGTGGGTGCGGGAGGGAAGAAGAGCAATTAGTGGAATGATGATGCAAAGAGAGCAGTAAGGGAGAAAAAGTTAGCATATGAGAGGTTTTTACAAAGTAGAAGTGATGCAAGGAGGGAAGAGTATATGGAGAGAAAAGGAGAGGTTAAGAGAGTGGTGAAGCAGTGTAAAAAGAGAGCAAATGATAGAGTGGGTGAGATGTTATCAACAAATTTTGTTGAAAATAAAAAGTTTTGGAGTGAGATTAACAAGTTAAGAAAGCCTAGAGAACAAATGGATTTGTCAGTTAAAAATAGGAGAGGAGAGTAATTAAATGGAGAGTTAGAAGTATTGGGAAGATGGAGGGAATATTTTGAGGAATTGTTAAATGTTGTTGAAGATAGGAGAGCTGTGATTTTGTGTATAGGGCAAGGAGGAATAACATCTTGTAGAGTGAGGAAGAGCCAGTTGTGAGTATGGGGGAAGTTCGTGAGGCAGTAGGTAAAATGAAAGGGGGTAAGGCAGCCGGGATTGATGGGATTAAGATAGAAATGTTAAAAGCAGGTGGGGATATAGTTTTGGAGTGGTTGGTGCTTTTATTAATAAATGTATGGAAGAGGGTAAGGTACCTAGGGATTGGCAGAGAGCATGTATAGTTCCTTTGAATAAAGGCAGAAGGGACAAAGAGAGTGCAAAAATTATAGGGGAATAAGTCTGTTGAGTATACCTGGTAAAGTGTATGGTAGTTATTATTGAAAGAATAAAGAGTAAGATGGAGAGTAAGATAGATGAACAAGGAGGATTTAGGAAAGGTCAGGGGTGTGTAGACCAAGTGTTTACAGTGAAACTTATAGGTGAACAGTATTTAGATAGGGTAAGGAGGTTTTTGTGGCATTTATGGATTTGGAAAAGGCATATGATGGGATGGATAGGGGGGCAGTGTGGTAAATGTTGCAGTTGTATGGAATAGGAGGTAGGTTACTGAAAGCAGTGAAGAGTTTTTATGAAGATAGTGGGGCTCAGGCTAGAGTATGTAGGAGAGAGGGAGATTATTTCCCAGTAATAGTAGGCTTAGACAAGGATGTTTGATGTTACCATGGTTGTTCAGTATATTTATAAATGGAGTTGTAAGAGAAGTGAATGTTTGGGTGTTGGCAAGAGATGTGGAGTTAAATATAATCTAACACAAAGTGGGAGTTGTTACAGTTGCTCTTTGCTGATGACACGGTGCTTTTGGGAGATTCTGAAGAGAAGTTGCAGAGGTTGGTAGCTGAGTTTGGTAGGGCATGTAAAAGAAGAAAATTAAAAGTGAATATAGGAAAGAGTAAGGTGATGAGGATAAAAAAATTAGGTAACAAAAGATTGAATATCAGATTGGAGGGAGAGAGTATGGAGGAGGTGAATGTATTCAGATATTTAGAAGTGGGCGTGTCAGCAGATGGGTCTGTGAAAGATCAGGTGAATCATAGAATTGATGAGGGCAAAAAAGTGAATGGTGCACTTAGGAATCTGTGGAGAGAAAGAACTATGTCCATGGAAGCAAAGAGGGAAATTTATGAGAGTATAGTTGTACCAGCACTCTTATATGGATGTGCAGCATGGGTGGTGAATGTTTCAACAAGGAAAAGGCTGGAGGAAGTGGAGATGTCATGTCTGAGGGCAATGTGTTGTGTGAATATAATGCAGAGAATTCAATAGCAATAGTTTGGCAATTAGGAGGAGGTGTGGGATTACTGAAACTATTATCCAGAGGGCTGAGGAAAGGTTGGAGGGAGGGGGTAAAGTTTTTGTGTGCAAGGGGCGTGGACTTCCAGCAAGCATGCGTGAGCATGTTTGATAGGAGCAAATGGAGGCAAATGGCTTTTAGGACTTGACGTGCTGTTGGAGTGTGAGCAGGGTAACATTTATGAAGGGATTCAGGAAATCGGCAGGCCAGACTTGAGTCCTGGAGATGGAAAGTACAATGTCTACACTCT